GGGATCGATATGTAAAATAATAATAATAATAATAATAATATTTTTAAAGGAAAAAAAGAAATTGTGTGAACTTACCATAGTTCTCTTGTCCTAATTTGTATAATGTCTTATATGCAGAGCTGCAGAACAGGGCACAAGGAAATGAAAGACAAAGTGTATAGGAAGTAATACTTAAATTTTCTTATTGGCTTTTCTGCTCATTCTAAAACACACAAAAACACTGGACATCAGGAATTAACAGCATAAAAGTTGATCAACTATAGTGTAAAAAAGAAATAGAAGAAATTAGGTGGCTAGAGCATTGGGCTGTTATTGATGCAGCTTCATGCTGCTGAAGCAGGAATCAACTGTGTGTAGGTCAAAGTTGAAAGAGGAAATGGGCCCTTACAGAGTATCCTAAAGTAGCATGTCTGCATGAACACTGTTACCAGTTGCCACTGGCCAGTATGTTGCAGCTTCTGATTAGCAGTAGTCCCCTAGGATAGGCTGGGACTAGAGGAAGTAAGGACTGGAAAAGTTACAGTGGGCATTTCATTCCTACACATAAGTATCCATTTACTATTAGCCATGCCAGTGAAGCTCATCTGCATGAAGTCTACTTAATTTCATGTTATTCTAGTGCCAATATTTAAATATACAAGCATATTGTATTTGTAAGAAACATTTTAGAAGGAGTCTAACTTCAAAAGTGATCAGAAATCAGTCTGGTTTCCTATAAAAGAATGATCTAAAAGCAACATAACCCCCACCCCTCCCGGCCTGCCAGTTCTATTTCAATAACCAGTGTAGTAAAAAGGGTTGGGTATTTTGTTTGTTTGTTTTTTGAGGCAGGGTTTCTCTGTGTGGCTCTGTAGACCAGGTTGGATCTCAAAGATCATCTGCCTCTGCGTCTTGAGTGCTGGGATTAAAAGCATGTACCACTACTTCCCAGCTTGGGGTTGATATTTTTATTGATTGATTTTTTTTGAAACAGCCTCACTGTATGCCCCAGACATTCAATCCTCTTACACCACTTCATTCCTAGTTCATATATATGATTTCAGCTGCCTATGGAGGTCCATTGTATAGAAGTTTAGAGAGACAAGTCCTAGGGTATGGGTCACAGGTTCTATATGTAAAGTCTTAAATATACTTTAGGAAAATAGTTTGGTTACCTTGCTTGGACTGTGATATTAAAATATCACAGACTGGGTGGTTCAAACAACAGAAAAATGAGTCTATAACAGTTCACAGTGTCAGAAAGGTTGGTTCCTTCTGAAGGCTGTCAAGGACTGTATTCTAGGTTTCTTGGCTTGTACATGACTGTTTTCCACTAACTTTCTTCATATTTTTCCATCCTATCCATATCTTTGTGTCCACATTTCCCCTTTTTATAAAGACATCAGTCTCATTAGATCAGAATCCATCTTAATAACTTCATTTTAATCACTCTAAATAGCATATTTTCCATTAAAATCACCCTCTGGTGTACACAAGCTTTGAATTTCAACATATGAATGCTGAAAGATGCAGTTTAACCTGTGATGCCTTATTTTTAAGAAGCAGAACCTTATATCACAAATAAGATCAGTTTTGTGTCACTATAGACATTTGAAAAGAATAATGCCTTGGCATATTCTTGCAAACTACACCATGTCAAGACTGGAGAGATGGCTCAACAGTTAAGATCGAATACTGCTCTTGCAGGACCTAAGTTTGTTTCCTAGCTTCCATGTTAGGTAGCTCACTACCCCTTTGCAACTTCAGCTTCAGGGGGGAGGGAGTGATATAACACTTCTGAACCTCTGAGGGTACCTGCATTCAGGTGCACATACAACCCCCCCACATGTACACATAGACACAATGAAAAATAAAATCTTATGTCATGTCAATGAGCGAGCCATGGGTGTGGCCAGATGTGATCTGTGTCTCTAATTTCAGCACTCAGATACCCCAGGCAGGAGGATCAACAGTCTGGGCTATATAGCAAAGTGCTATGTAAAACAAGTAAACAATGCCCCCCCTACAAATACACAACAAAAAGACCACTCACAGAAAAGTTTGAAAGTCACAAATATGAATGTATATGTGAGTGTGCTTATGTTTGCAACTGTAGCAGAACCAAGGAAACCATTTGAAAAATCAGCATAACCCTTACGATGTGACTATAAAGTAATAAAATGGTTTCCAAAGGGCACAGCTTAAAAATAGTCGTTATGCTTACTTGTCACCTATTAAAGTTTAACCATGAAAGACTGGTCTGAAAAGACATCAAGGCATGAGTTTTAAATGAAAATTATGTTAATATGGCCAGAGTGGGCCTCAGAGGCAATTAATTGCTTTTTGCTCTGAATAACTTGAAGTAATGAGGGGTTGAGGCAGTGTTTGGACGTGCATTGAGTTTTTAATTTTTAAAATGTATCTAGGTTTAGTTATTGTAGAATTTGATCTTTATTCACTGTTTTCTTCCTTAGACCTCTACCATATGAGGCCCTCACTAAGCTGATAGATGAAGCCAGTGAAGGAGACATGAGCATTTCAATCCTTACACAGGTGGGCAGCATTACAAAGCCTAGCCTGGCAATTGATATTTCAGTATTTGTTTTTAATTTACCTGACAATTTACAAAGACAACAAAACAGACCTTATGAAACCCATGCTACAAGTTTTTTTGTGTGTGTGTCCCTTCTGTACACAGGAAATAATGGTATATCTTGCCATGTATATGAGAACTCAGCCCGGCCTCTTTGCTGAAATGTTCCGACTTCGAATTGGTCTAATCATACAAGTTATGGCAACAGAATTGGCCCACTCTCTTCGGTGCTCAGGTATTTATTTAATTTAGTAACTAATTTTAGGTGGAATCCACTTCTAGTCCAGATCCATGGAGTTTGGAATCAGGAGGGAAAGGAAGGTACAATTTATATATCCTTAGCTTAGAAGTTGTGTTTGTCAGTCAGTAACTAAGTTAGCAAAAAGATGGCGTATTTGTATACTGCTTCAACAACTTTAAAATGTCACTTCCTGAGGACTCTACATTCCATATACTTCTTAACCAAGTCCTTTTAGCTAACTTCTTCCCGACACCTCAGGGGCTTTAGAGATTGGCAAACTGTGTTGAGTTCCGATGGAAAGAAGGAAGCTTCTGGACATAAGTGTGAGTTACTAAGTAGTGCATCATAGTCTCAATGGTCTGTCAGCACCATGATCAAACAAGGAAGAATTTTTATTAGTACTTACCTAACAAGTATAGTAGTACTTTCTCATCAGGACTGCCTGCCTACAAACAACCCAGAGACTTATTATTAATTTTGAAAGCTGGGCCTTAGCTTAGGCTTGTTCCAGCTACTTCTTATAACTTAAATTAACCCGTAGTTTTTAATCTTCCGTTCTTCCATGAGGCTCATTACCTCATCTCCTTACTGTTTATCCTACTTCCTCTGTGTCTGGCTGTTGACTCCACCTTTCTTCTTCCCAGAGTCCTCTTTGTCCCCAAAAGTCCCAACTAACCTCTTCCTGCCTGCCTAGCTATTGGCTATTTGACTCTTTATTAAACCAAGCCTTGGAAAAGATACATCTTCACCGTGAAATATTTCACAACAAATAAGACTTGATAATTATTCATAGGTTTGTCAACGTAACATATTTAGTTAGGAAAATATTGGGACCTGAGGAAGCTATACAGAAGAGCTGTCCCACAGATGTTTCCAACCTTGATCGGGCTACACAACATTTGTCACCTATTAAGTTTGTGCTTGAGGAGCATTAATTGAATTTTGAAAAAAATTCTAGGTAGTGGTGGCACATGCCTTTAATCCCAGCACCCAGGAGGCAGAGGCAGGTGGACCTCTGTGACTTTGAAGACAGACTGGTTTATAGAGAAACCCTGCCTAAAAAAAAAAAAAAAGAAGAAGAAGAAGGAGGAGGGCTGGATAGTAGTGACACACGCCTTTAATTCCTGTACTTGGGAGGCAGAAGCAGACAGATCTCTAAGTTTGAGGCCAGTATGGTATACAGAGCAAGTTCCAGGGCAGCTATGACTACACAGAATACACCCCATCTCAAAAACAAAACAAAACAACACAAAAAACAATCCACAGTTGCATGCCTTTAATTTGTGAATTTGAGTCTAACCTGGATTACATAGGCCTATATGCTGATACCATGTCTCCAAAAACTGTAAATAGGTTTATAGTTTTGTATCAGGACATATTTATAGCTATGCTTAACTACATGTGAGTTAAACATGCCTAAACTATAAGAGGGTTGTGTTATGGGACAGATTCCCATAGCATAACTTTTTTTCATTAAAAAAGTTTCAACAAGAACGACAAAATTTGAGGAACTAGAGATGGCATAGAAAATATAATCACAGTTGCAAAATTAAAACTAAAACTTGTTTCACTTAAATTTCTCAAAATGGCTTTTTAAAAATTATTTATTTTTAATTATGTGTATATTTGCATGTCTGTGTGTGCATATGTGAGTACAGGTTTCTGTGTAGTTCAGGGGTTATCAGATTCCTTGGAACTGGAGTTAAAGATGGTTGAGTTATGAGCCATCTGACATAGATGCTGGGAACTTAACTCACATCCTCTACAAGAGCAGTATGCACTGAGAACCACTTAGCCATCTCTCCACCTCCGCATATGGACTTACATTTTTCTCTGAAGGGCTGGAAAGATGGCTCAGCAATTAAAAGCACTGGCTCCTATTTCAGAGAATCTGAGTTTGAATCCTATCACTCACATGGTGACTAACAGCCATCTTAATTCCAGTCCCAGAAATTTACCGCCCTCTTCTGGCTTCCTTGAACATTACATGCATGTGATACATAGAAATACATGCAGGGAAAACACCCATATTAATGAAATAGGTAAATATAGTCTATATTTTTAAAATTTGAGATATTCTTATGTAGCTCAGGTATGCATGCATTTGTGATTCTCCTGCCTTTACCTCCAGAGTATTTATATTATAGAGAGGTGTCACCATGCCTGGTGCACAAAAGGTATATATATAAAAATATGGAACACTTCATGAATTTGCATGTCATCCTTGCCTAAAGGCCATGCTAATCTTCTTGTATCATTCCATTTTTAGCATATGTGCTGCTGAAGGGAGTACCTCAGTATTCTTAATAAACCACAGACTTGCCTCTATTCTCTTTTAATCATATACACTGAGAACTTTGGAGTGTGTGCATGAACATTCATTGCTGTTCTCTGAATGTTTTTACTTCTCTTATTATCCTTCATTCTTCTCAGCTTCAAATAAAAACTTGTGGAGTTAGCCAGCAACGTGGAAATAGGATGAAGAAGAAACTAGTGGGCTAGCTAATCTAGTCAGTTCTTTAATAATTAAAATTCTAATGCTGTATGAATAACCACGTGTATGGTGTTATAAATTTACTCTCTAATTACATCTTCTGAAGTAAGTGACTTAGAAATCCTATGAAAGGAAATAGAGGGTCTAATCCCCATCTTAGAGAGAGGAGAGGGCACATCCAAAGGAGCAAACCAAGTGTGGTCACGTATGTCTGCAACTCTGTCATTTTACAGACTGAGGCAGAAAGATGGCAAATTTAAGACTAGTGTAGGCTACACAGTGAGAGCCTGTTTTAAGGAGAAAATCAAAAATAAGGAACATATGGTATGCAAATTAGAATTCTTTTGCCCGAATTTCTGTTCATTAGCTGAAGAAGCCACAGAGAGCCTGATGAATCTGAGTCCTTCAGCCATGAAGAACCTCCTGCATCACATTCTCAGTGGCAAAGAGTTTGGAGTGGAACGAAGTGGTAAGACCCAAGCATTGAACTTATATTTTGTTTTAATTCTCAGTTTTACAGTGCTTTTCTTCTATTGGAGGGGCATTTAGCCCCCCAAATAAACAAAACCTGAATAAATAAAACATTTAAAAGTAAAGCTATCTTTTGGAACAAGATTTGAAAACTAAAAGAAAAAGTTGAGTTTGGGTTTTGGAGTGGGGGGGAGAAAGCTCAGTGGGTAAAGTGATAGTGCCTATAGAAAAGCTGGGCTCAGTAGCTTGTGTCTGTAACCCAGCTCACCCCTGTACTCATTTGCTTTTATTGATGTGGTATGCACCATGGCCAAAAGCAACTTGGGGAAGGATGGCTTTATTTGGCTTCCATGTCTGGTCACAGTCCATCCCTGAGTGAAGCAAAAGCGAGAACTCCAGGACAGCAGGAACTGAAGTGGAGGCCATGGAGGGATGATACTCAACTGGCTTGTGCCTCATGGCTCACTCAGTTAGTTCTCCATGCCACCTAGGACCACTTGCCCACAATGTCCTGGGCCTTCCCACAGGAATCATTAATCTCAAAACTAACCTGAGAGCAAATGAATGGAACTAGAAGAAACCATCCTGAGTGAGGTAACCCAGTCACAAAAAGAGGAATTCGGTATGTACTCACTCATGTATGGATTATAGACATAGAGCAAAGAATCACCAGCCTACAATCCACAAACCCAGAGAAACTAGGAAACAAGAAGGAGCCTAAGAGAGACAAAAATGGTCCACCAGAGAAAGGGAAAGGTACAAGATCTGAGCAAATTGGGAGGATGGGGTGGGGTTTAGGAGAGAGAGAAGGGGAGAAGAAGAGGGGAGAGGAGAACATGAGGGAGCAGGAAGATTGAGTCAGGGAAAGAAGAGGAGAGCAAGAAAAGAGATACCACAATAGAGGGAGCTGTTAATAGGTTTAAAGAGAAATCTGGCACTAGGGAATGTTCAGAGATCCACAAGGATGACCCCAACTAACAATCTAAGCAATAGTGGAGAGGCTGCTTTAAATGCCCTTCCGTGATAATGAGATTGATGACTACCTAGAGCCTTCATCCGGTAGCTGATGGAAGCAGAAGCAGACACCCACACCACACTGAGCTGAACTCCTGGAATCCAGTTACAGAGAGGGAGGAGTGATGAGCAAAGGGGTCAAAACTAGGCTGGAGAAACCCTGAGAAAGAGCTGACCTGAACAAGGGGGAGCTTATGCACCCCAGACTGATAGCTGGGAAACCAGCATAGGACTGACCCAGACCCCCTGAATGTGGGCAGTCTATGGGACCGCTGATAGTGGATCTTATTTATCCCTAGTGTACAAATGGACTTTGGGAGTCCATTCCACATAGAAGGATATTTTCTCAGCCTAGACACATGGCGGAGGGTCTGGTCCCTTTTCCAAATGATGACAGACTTTGAAGACTCCCCATGGAAGGCCTCACCCTCCCTGGGGAGCAGAAAGGGGATGGGATGAAAGTTGGTGGTGGAATTGGGATTGACATGTAAAACAAGCTTATTTCAAATTTAAATAAAAATTATTATAAAATAAAGAAAAACTGCCCTGACAGACTTACCTACTGGCCATTCTGATGGAAACATTATCTCAATTGAAGTTCCCTCTTCTCACATAACTGTAGTTTCTCTTAAATTGATGAAAAGAAACTAACCAGAACACTCCTATGGGGAGATGGGAGACAGAGATGGAAACAGAAACAGATAATCTCAAAAGCTTGCGAGCCAGCTAGCCTGACACATGAAGCATTGAACAAGAGAAACCCTATCTCAAACACGGTAGAAGTCAAGGACCATCACTCAAGGTTCTTCTCTGACCTCTACATGCATACCATGACAGACAGGTCCCCCCCACTCTCTCTCTCCTGTCTCTCACACACACACAAACACACACACCACCTTTTGAAAAGATTTGGTAACATAAACATATATGTAACTCATCTTTTTCCTTAAATGATACAAGTAGATTAATAGCTATCACAATTCATTAAAATTTGTATTTACATTTATTTATTGATTGTCTGCCTGTGTTATTGGGGCAGGGTTACCACAGCACATGTGTGGAGGTAAGAGGACAACTTGTAGGAGTTGGTTCTTTCCTTCCACCATGTGTGTCCCAGGAATTGAACTCAGGACATCAGACTTGGTAGCAAGTGCTTGCACCTGCTGAGCCATCTTACCCTCACATTTCCTTTTTAACTATGTAGTAAATTACCTTTCATTATCCTAAGTCAGGAGGACAACTAAAAACCCACTCTGAATCTTTATTGTATTCAAATTGGGGGTAACTCAGTAAAATTGATAATATTACGGTGTATATGTATGTTTGTGGTTGTGACTTATCCACTGTATCCTTTCAACCCTAAATTCTTGTACCTCTAAGAGTCTGTCACCACAAGCTAATCTTTTTTGGATGGGATGTTTTCAAGACAGGATTTCTCTGTAGCTCTGTCCTGGAACTCTCTCTGTAGAAAAGGTTGGACTCTCACAGAGATCAGCCTGCCTCTGCCTCCTGAGTGCTGGCATTAAAGACATGTGTCACCACCACCTGGCCACAAGCTAATCTTCATATGCGCTTTTTATATTTTTATTAACAGGTGTTAATTTTATATATCACCAAGTTTAAAAGCATTATTTTAGTACATACATAGAGCATGTGTCAATCAAACTCAGTGTGTTCTTTGGGGCTTTGCAGCATATTTACGCTGTATACCTAAAGAAGGAGAACAAGAACCTAACAAAGTTTATAAAAAAGGATTATCTCCTGCATTCAATTAATTATCTTAGGTTATTTTTTCAAGGAGGAATGGCCAGACTTTAGTATGTTTTGTTTTGGTTTTAAAGTCTTTTGAGTAGCTTGCAGGAACAGATCTGACTGTGTTGGTGAGGGAGCAAAGAAAAGACAAATGTGTACAGACATACAGAAAAGCTGAAATAAGTGGATTGGGCTCTGATGCAGAAACCACAGCATCCAAAGGAGATTAGCTAAAGCTGTCTCCTTGTTCAGCTGTGTGCAATTGCTGGGGTCCAGCCTCAGCTCGGGCTCAGGTCGTCCTGAGGAACAGAAGGAGTGTTGGTGCAAGGAAAACTTCTAATCACCAAGCGGATTGCATTCAAGTGGCCCCAAATAGCTCAGGCCATCTTTATTTATACTTAAACAGAGTTTTTTCCTTACAAATGGTACATGAATATTTTTATTATTGACTTATATTGTTACTTTAAAATTTACATCGTGATTTAATGAATACATTGTGATCATTATGAAAGCCCCATTGTTCCTCTTTATGCTTCCCCAAATACATTTTTCAACCCCCTGCATAACCTTATTCTATAGACATAGAGTTCAGCATTTTGGGGGCCTTAACTAAATATCAAGCCAGACACACCCTGTTCTTGAAGCACTTACGTCAGCTGGCAGCTACTTGGAATTACAACATTAAATGGTAATAGACAGGAGAATAGTGCTTTAAGGAAAACAATATTCAAATGCAGACAAGACTTTCATGTCTGTAAAATAGGCTTTTATTCAGTTCCCTTGTCTACAAGAGGGTCACATGCCTCAGTCTCTGTAAAGGGCAGACTTTGATAAGGCACTCTTTTCCCATCCCACTACACCAATATAAGCGCCTATGTGTGGTAAAAATTGACCCATCCATCCCATATTTTACATTACCTTTTCCCCATTGGATCATACTAGATCCTGTCATTGATTCTATATGCTTGGCGTCCAGGGAACTTACTCTCAACAGTTGACACTATGTGTATTCCTGGGGCTTTTCCCCTGTTCTGTGTACACATGCCTTACTTTCCTTTTCAGAACTGTGAGACATGGTTAATGCTCCAAGTGTTGTTTCCTCATATGTACCCAACTGCCTCTATTGAATCAAAAAAGTTTCCAAGATTAGGAGTTGGAGTTAGTAATTCCAGATAAGTAATTTGAGAAACATTAGCCCCCTGTTGAATCTTAGGGGAAAATACTGGAGAAAGAACAGAACTTCCGGGGAAAATTACAGCTGCTGCTTGTGTGACTGACAAAATAAAACTAAAAACTTCCCAAAGAATCAGCAATAAAATGAAAGAGAAAAGAGTCTTCAAGCTGCATGAATTTTGCAAATTACTATGATGTCCTGTGGACTGCTAGTACTTGTCAAGTGAGAGTCTTTTCCACGGGTGCCTTGCCCTGTGGAGACCCATTGGACAAGTAGTCATATGCTGATCCAAGACTGGGCTGCATGGCTTCTGACATGCAATAACCTACTTCTCAGTTCAAGTAAGTTGGACATTTTCTGCACACACTATCAATATTCACACTCAGAT